TTTGAAATTGCTTGGGCTGAAAAACTATTTTTTCCGTGTAATTTTTTTCGACATTATATGTTGTCAGGAAGCTCTACGAGTCCCCCGGCGGTAACAAAGGTTGACGGTTTACCGCCGGCGCCCAGTTGGTCGATCCGGCCAGAAAGGACAAAGTGGTAACTTTTGGGGAGTTTTGCGATTTTTTGAAAGATATTTGACAATTCATTTTGAGAAAGCAGATTTTTACTCCGAGCATTGGGGTATAAACTTTTTTCTTGAGCATCTGAGCTTTAGTATTAGTTGACTTGGAGGAACCGACGTTTGACTTGGAGGAACCGACGTTTGACAAAAACAGAAAAATGTGATTTTTCGAGTTTCTCAGGTCTTGCCCTGGGCGCTTCCTTGATGCTGACTGAGGAGCGCCGTGTGCAAGAAGAGCTCTACGAGGGCGCCGGCTCAAGAACGTCTCGGCTCAAGAACGTCTCTGCCTGGGGAACCTCCAGACGTTCTAGCGTGCCCTGGCCTCGGGGTGTGAGCCCGGCTTGCCTGGGTTCCCTCGAGGTTTTTGTCTGCTACTCTACATCTCTTGTATTGTACGCTATATTCTTCTTCGCGGTATTGAGATTCTCTGGTGTGCTGCACTGCTGTTCATTGTCTGTCTGCATTCTTTACCTCTTATTGAACGGGTGGTAGTTGCTGACAATCACGTCGTAAGACGTGTCCTTGTTGACCGTTGTTGACAATCGCGTCGTACGACAGTCCTGAGGCTCAGCTGGCATTGAGGAGAGAGATAGGACTCGAGCATTGGGGTGAAAGTACTGAGGAGTGGTTTCGGCGTCAAAGGAATTTGGACATACCCACAGAAGACTACCTGGACGAGAGAGTCAACTTTGATTACCTTGAGGAATACCAGCCGTGGGATCAGAAAGATCTGCAGGCACTGGAGGCAGCATCAAACAAACGTCAACGTGAGGACGATAGGAGCTGGTTAGATAAATACGGATTGAACGGTAATGCTCTTGAAGATATGACTCATGTTGCAGCAGCGGCGGATGCCGCGATGACTGGGGATGGTGAGACTCGATCCAAACGTGCACGTGGAACAGAGATTGAGGAGAAGAGGAAAGTGATGTTAGAAAAGGAGAAGGATCCATTCAAACAGATGATGATGAAGCATGTTTGGAAAACGGAGGATGCCCATGAGGATCTCATCCATGTTGTTCAATCGACGAAGACGGACATCAAAAGAGTGGATGACACACTCAAGTTGCATGCGGAGAGAATGGACAAATCAGATGCACGGACAGAGATTTTGGAGAAACAGGTTAAGCAAATTTTGGCTGGATCTCCTGCAGCTTCGGTTTCGACTAGTGTGGGCCCTGGTGGCTCCTCTGGTGGTTGTGGAGGTTCGTTCCCTCGCGTGCAACAGGAGCGATCGAGCCAGTTCACACCAACTTATCTCGAGCTGAAAGGGTGGGTTACGGATTGGTCGAATCAAGTAAATCGGGGAAATCAAATGATACCCTGGGCAGATGCGGCACAGTTAATATCTAATATGATTGGGACACTTCAGGGGGAGGAAAGGAATGCTTACGATAAATATAAAACTGAACGTTTAAACGGAGGAAGATATATGTACGGCAGTGTGAAGGTCGGTTTCAAAGAAGGGACACCACGGGACACTCTTTGGAGAATAAAGAAATGGATGGATATGGTCTGTAAGGAACCCGCCGACCGCATTGCCCCGCCCCCAGATTATACGTATCCAGATGCCGATGTTCTCACTCATGATATGGACACGCCAATCGATCCCAGAAAGATTCGTACGTTAGTGGAGTGTGCACCCTGGAAGCGTGATCATGTGAAAGCGGTTGCTCGTTTCTGTGGGACTTGGCGTAGTATGACCTCGGCTCAGGTTCAAATCGAGATCCGTGGGGAGGTGGGGCCACCGAGAAGTCAGATTTGGACTCAAGCTGTTACGAATTTCCGACCCGTCTGTTTTGCGACGTATACGAATACCACATGGGCTTGGGTTCTTCATGCTGATGCATGGGCTCGTATTGTTTCTTTTTATCCGGCGCTGAAGGTTCCCATGAATGATATACTTCAGGAAGTGAATCGTAGGCAGTGACGTTTGCGGCGCCTCGTCCGAGGCATACGCTTAGCGAGCTGGAACCTGAACAAAGCAGGGGAGGCTCATTTCAAATGTGCTGAGATTCTCCATCATATGAGGGCATGTGGTGGGCTCTTTGAATGTCAGGGAACTCAATACCTAGTGCACGGGGAATTTGAACGCTTGGGGTGGCGTATCAAAACTAGTTCGTGTAGTAAGGCAGCTCTCATCTTCGACAGATCTTGGGCGGCTGCCGTCCGTATGTTTTTCACTTGTTTCACGAGGTTCGTTATCGGTGTCTTAGGGTCAGAGAAGTCACCACTCATTATTGTGTCAGCGTATTTGCCAGACCCTCATGTGGAGGATTGTGTAGAGATTGCTGCGGAGGTATATGAGCAGATCGGTCGTGCTCGCAATGTTCTCCGCACTAAGTTTCCGCAGGCCAGCTTTTGTGTTCTGCTAGATGCAAACGTGGAGATTCCGCCTGGATGCAGATTTACGTATAATGGGGAGGAGTATGAGGCTACTGGAAAGGAAGGTACTCGTACGGACAGAAGGTGGGAGAGAGGAGGAGACGGTACACAGCAGATTGAAAGGGGGAGTCGGAGGAGGAGGCTGAAGGAGCTGCTGTTAGAGTTCATGGAATCGCATGGACTGAAGGCCGCCAACACTTTCTGTACTAGGAGGCATACCTGGGAGTCGTGGGGGGAGAACAAGTTTCTGACTTCGAAGAGGGTCCTGGATTACCTAATGGTGCCTCACCGTTGGGAGTTCTCGGATCTGGAGGTGAAGTGGTGTTTCAAGAGGGGTGGGAAGAAGCAGTTCAGTAGATTATCCGATCACGCAATCATCACGGCGAGTTTCACTGACCCTGGGAACGTGATTGTTCGTCGCCCTGACCCCCAGCCTGGTCAGAAGTCTAGGCCGTCTCTGGTCGGATACAAGTGTTCGACTTGGTCTGATGAGCATCAGGCTCGACAGCATGTGGATTCGTATCTAGGCGGTGCTGCCTTTTCAAGGTGTCCGTCTGTGACCTGTCCACAGGGTCTGGAGAGTTCTATGCTGGAGGCGTACTTGTCACCGACGGTGGACTACTCCACCACGGGTGCGAGAAGACAGAGAGAGCCGTCCAGGCCGGTGCAGCTCACAAGAGCGGAGGAGGAGGTTAAGATGTGTCCGAAGGAGGAAGTGGAGAGGTTGAGGAGGTTAAAGAATGAGGCTAATCGTCTACGCAGAGGTTATCGACGTGATATGATTATGTGCAGATGCCCCCCAACAAAAAGAAAGGTCAGATATACTATCAAACATTTAGTGGTGGATGGGAGGGAGACGGAGGACCGTGAGGAGTGGAAGGAGGAGCTCGACAAGTTCGTTCGTTTCAAGGTGTCGTCCGAAGAGATACGCAATTCCACCAACAGTATGATGGAGGAGATCAGGATGAGGGCTGTGCATGAGATACGTTCCACATCAGTTGTGGGAATTAGTATGGCGCTGCTTCTCAGAGCACGAGCTCGGCTGAAGACCCAGAGGGCTACTGGGCCAGACGGGATACCGTGCGAGATTCTAGGAGCTTGCCGTGGTGTGCTCTCAGAGCGATCCAGAAGTTGTTCGATAAAATCATCAAGCTCACGATTCCGTATCCTCAGTCGTGGCGTGAGATTCTCGTCTCTTCTATGCCAAAAACTCCAGGGATCACTAAGTTAAAAGACGGACGTTTGCTGTGTATGCAGAATGCTGTTTCGAGATGGTTCAGTTCCTGTGTTGTTCTCTTTGTTGAGGGTCATATTGAAAGAAAAGGAGTGTTTCGTCATATTGGGTTGTATGGTTTCCAGGAACACCGTCGTACACACGAAATCACGGCTAGCATCAAACACATAGGTCAACATGCTGCACAATGGGGAAAAGGGGAAACGGCACACTTGGCGAACGCTGATGTCCTTCAGGCGTTCGATCACTGCACGGTGGCCAATGTCAGGCGCGGGTTGGATCATGCGGATGTGCCCCTTTACCTACAGTATGCTCTACTTGACCCCTTGTGCGAATGTGTAGGCACTGTCTATGGTGGGACAAATGTATTCGGACGGGAGGGCCCGAGGGGCCGTTGGCCTTCAATCTCGTCGTTGCTGCTATGTGGGGCTCCACGATTCGAGAATGGGACGTACTAGGACTAGGTTATCGTATTGAGTATGTGACTGGCTCGACTAGCTGTGTTTCGATTATTAATCATTTCCTTTGGGCTGACAACTGTTATGTATTGGCTCGGAGTCGAGAGGAACTCACACGCATGTTACGCGGTCTAACTACACAGTTACATGATTATGGAATGAGATGGAAGGAATCCAGCCTATTGTATATGGTGTTCGGGGTCGAGCCGCCGCGAGATGTGGAAGGGGAAATACTTCACACCGCTGATCTTGCTCTCTCGGTGGAGGCGTCTGGAGTGTATCGATTTAGAAGGACGACGGAGATGGAGGTGCTGGGGGCTTATATTTGTTCTGAACTACATGTGAATGAACATCATGATTTGGACGCTCGTATTGACTGTGCTCGCAGGGCCTTCTGGGGGCAGGCGACCTTCTTCCGCTCCACGGCCATCACGTTGAAAGATAAATATGAGAGGTATGCTCAGAGAGTTCAGAGTATTGTGCTCTACGCGGCGGAAGGATGCACGGTCGATTCAAGTTCATTGAGCGCCATTCATATCTTTGAGGGCAAGTGCCTGTCTGTAATGTCTCGCTGTATACGGAGGGAGGGGGAAAGTTACCAGGAATGGAATACGAGGAGGTATGAACGTGCGAGACAAAAATTTCATGATGCTCACTTCGTGGGCATTGTACAGAAGTTTCTCAGAGTGCAATGGATGTGGGCAATTGACATCCAGGACTTTGCACGCAGGCTGATCACAGATCGGGGGGAGTTGGAGGCGAACTCGATGAGAGCTTGGAGAGATTCTCGTTTCTCATGTCTGGCGTTTGGCCGACTGTGGGATAGAATGAGGACGGATTCAAGTGAGGCTCTCAGATGTTGGGGAAACTGGAAGGAGGCCAGCTCTATGAAAAGGCATCGGGGGGACAGGAGAGCGTCGGACTCCGTCCGTGGTATTATTCATTGGAATCGTTTTACGGTTTATCCTGGTGGGAGTTCTTTGCTGGAAGTTTTGAGCATTTCATGGATTTCGCTGCTAATGTTTGTTCTAGTACTATGTTGAAGTACTTCCAAAAGAAGTGTAAAGGGTTGGCGTCCTCTGGGGTGCCTGTATTCTTGAACTTGGATGAGGATGGAGGGGTTCATATCGGTCAGGATCGGGAGGAGACACCAGCATATAGGGATCGCCTCAGCAAACGTATTGCGTTGCATAATATGCGTTGTACACAGTGGGACCTCGATACAGATGGGATACCACTGGACATCCAAGGGGACTCTCTGCTTGTTATTAACTGGCTCTGCGGGAAATGGAAAGTATTAGCTCAGGTATATCAGAAAAGGGTGGATACTCTGATTAATAAGGTGGACGAAATGCAGGAAACTTACTTGGTGAGGCCTCCAGAGGCCGGCCGTGACTTCTTCTCTCATTCGTTTCGGGAATGGAACCAGAAAGCAGACTTACTGACCCATCAGGCCCGTCAGGGCCTTGTGTACGCCGATTTCGTTTACCTCAACGACTTTGAATCTCAGTGTTATTTTCCTTGCCTTATCAAAGCCGGCTTTGATGGGGGAGTTTGTAGCCGCGGAAGTGCCTGTGGTGCATGGATACAGATTGGTCTGCGAAACAAGGATATCTTCTCGCGGACCGACATCATTTTCAAGGATGTGTATCTTGCGGCTTGGTGTCTACCACCGAGCGCCACTGTTACAGATGCGGAGCTATCGGCGGCGGAGCGCATATGCGAGGTGCTCCCACAGGTTGTGCAGACCTTCTTTGATCATTCGCAGTGATTTGACACACATTGTTTCTTCTTTTCTGTGTCTTGTATATTCCTGCAGCTTCGCTGCTCACTGACTTCCTCGATTATCTGTGTGTTCTTTGCGTTTGATTGTGTCATTGCGGCATGTGATTCTCTTTATTCCTTCAGCTTCGCTGTGTGGTATAAGAGCTGACTGCTTGCGTGATGAATAAGAGGCTCTGTTTTGCCTGAGACTTTGTTGGACCTGGCCTCAGTGGCCAAGACGGTCCCAGCAAAGACGCAACAAAAAACCTGGTTGACGGTTTACCGCCGGTTCCCAGTTACTGGAAGCTTAAGAGTAATTCCGGGGCGCTGGAGAGCTAGTTGGCAAGAAAAATCTCGACGGACCTTTTGCTGATTTTTGGTCGCTTGAACATTTTGTTCTCGAAATTCAACAATTCGTTTAAGATCTAGTATTTTTCCCATGATATTCGATCTTATTCCCGCTCGCAATCTTGATCTCAGCTCGATCGGGTAATTTTTACTGCCAAACAGCAGGCAGGCGGGATCGGCCGTTTCAAGTCATCTAGATACGCGATGACGGTTTTCGTAACTCGAGCTTTAGAACAGCTACAGAGCTTGTGAGCACAGCTAATCGATTCAGAATGAGCAGGCGCGTTCGCCTGTTGAATCTAGAGGTCTGAACTCGGTCTGCTAGCCGAGCTAGGTCTGCGAACCTGTTCGTATTATTCAAGTCATCTTGACAGACACTTTCGGTTTTCTGTACTTAACCCGAGCTATGGGACAGGTACAGAGCTGATACTTACAGAAACCGATTTAGAATTAGCAGTCGCATTTGTCAATTGAATCCAGAGCTCTGAACTCGGTCTGCTGCCCGATCTAGAATCGCGAAACTATTCCTATTGTTCGAGTCATCTTGAGAAGTGCTCTCGGTTTTCTGCACTGAACTCGGGCTGGGGGGGAGCTACAGTGCTGGTGGTCACAGGAATCGATTTGAAGACATCATGCGCGTCTGTCTGTCGAATCCAGAGCTCGGAACTCGGTCTGCTGCCCGAACTATTGTATTGTTCGAGTCATCCTGAGAGGTGCTGTCGGTTTTCTGCACTTAACTCGGGCTGTAGGGGGGCTGCAGGGTTGTAAATCAGAGGAGCCGATTCGCAGACATCACGCGTCTGCCTGTCGGATTCAGAGGTCTGAACTCGGTTTGATAGTAGCTGGGTTGCCAAACTATTCGTTTTGTTAGAGCCATCTTGAGAGCTGCTGTCGTTTTACGCACGTAGCTCGGGCTGTAGAAGAGCTACAGAGCTCGCAAAGAAGACAATCCAGAAGCATCGGGGGCGTTCGGCTGTTGCATCGAGAGGTCTGACATCGCTTGGGCTGAACAAATATTCGTTCTCTGCATGTTTTCCACATTACATATTGTCAGGAGGCTCTACGAGTCCCCCGGCGGTAAGGAAGGTTGACGGTTTACCGCCGGCGCCCAGTAATTCCGGCGCGCTGGAGAGCTAGTTGGCAAGAAAAATCTCGACGGAACTTTTGCTGACTTTTGGTCGGTTGAAAATTTTGTTCTCGAAATTCAACAATTCGTTAGAGCTCTAGTATTTTTTCCCGTGATATTCGATCTTATTCCCGCTCGCCATCTTGATCTCAGCTCGATCGGGTGAATTTTACTATCGAAAAGCACTGTGGCGGGATCGGCCGTTTCGAGTCATCTTGACACGCGATGACGGTTTTCTGAACATAACTCGAGCTTTAGGACAGCTACAGAGCTGGTAAGCACAGCTAATCGATGTAGAATGATTAGGCGCGTTCGCCTGTTGAATCCAGAGGTCTGAACCGGTCTGTTAGCCGAGCTAGGTCGCAAACCTATTCGTATTATTCGAGTCATCTTGACAGGAAACTCTCGGTTTTCTGTACTTAACTCGAGCTGTAGGACAGCTACAGAGCTGATATTTACAGAAACCGATTCAGAATCATCAGTTGCGTTTGTCTGTCGAATCGAGAGCTCTGAACTCGGTCTGCTGCCCGATCTAGAATCGCGAAACTATTCCATTGGTCGAGTCATCGAAGTGCTCTCGGTATTCTTCACTCAACTCGCGCTGAGGGGCTACAGTGCTGGTGGTCAGAGGAATCGATTTGAAGACATCAGGCGCGTCCGCCTGTCGAATCCAGAGCTCGGAACTCGGTCTGCTGCCCGAATTAGGTCTCGAAACTATTGTATTGTTCGAGTTATCCTGATAGGTGCTGTCGGTTTTCTGCACTTAACTCGGGCTGTAGGGGGGCTGCAGGGCTGGTAATGACAGGAGTCGATTCGCAGACATCAGACGCGTCTGCCTGTCGCATTGAGAGGCCAAAAAATATTCACTATGAGTCGGAATGTTGGTAGGTGCTGTCGGTTTTCTCAAATTAAGTCGAGCTAGGAAGCTCTACGAGTCTCCCGGCGGTAACCAAGGTTGACGGTTTACCGCCGGCGCCCAGTAAGCGAAAGCAACAAACTTTAAAACATCGATCGCATACACATAGTTTTGCGGACTTAGCTCGAGATGCAGACTCTGTTCAGAGCTCTAGATGCTTCAGCCAAACGCCCTTGATGATTCTGTATCGGTTTCTGTGCGTACTACCTCTGTAGCTGTGCTACAGCTAGAGTTAAGTGCCGAATACCGACAGCGCCTGTAAAGAGAACTTGAGAAATACGAATAGTGGTCATCTTGACAGATGCTGTCGAGAGATGTAGGAGAGCTACAGAGCTGGTACGCACATGAATCGATTCAGCATCATCAGGCGCGTGCGTCTGTTCCATCTAGAGCTCTGAGCTCAGTCTTGTACTCGAGTCTGCTATCAGCGCTGAGGCTGAACAACTATTCGTTCTCTGCCAATTCTTTGGACAACATATGGCAAGGAAGCTCTACGAGTCTCCCGGCGGTAAGAAAGTTTGACGGTTTACCGCGGGCGCCCAGTTGGCAGACCCGACCTTAAGAGACAATGTGTTAACTTTGGGTCGATTTTTGTATCTTTGCGCCACATTTGAAAGTTCGTTTTGAGAACTGGTATTTTTCTCACGTGTAGTGGGTTATGCCGCGTCTGCCAGTGAAATTCTCAGGTCCGTAGCTGCAGTGTTACTATCAAAACACTTGCTGGAACCGGCTGTGTTCCGAGCCATCCTGACACGCTTAAACGGTTTTCGGTATTTAACTCGAGATTTCGGAAAGCTACAAGGCTGGTGCTTACAGAAACCGATTGAGAATCATCAGGCGCGTTCGTCTATTCCATCCAGAGGTCTGAACTCGGTCTGCTACTCCAGCTGAGTCGGCAAACCTATTCGTATTCTTCGAGTTAATTTGGTAAGTGCTGTCGGTTTCCCTTACTTAACTCAAGATTTAGAAGAGCTACAGAGCTGGTAAGCACATAAAACGATCCAGTCTCAGTAGGCGCGTCCGTCTGTTGCATCGGGAAGTCTGAACTCGGTCTGCTACTCGAGCTAGGTCCGCGAAACTATTCGTATTCTTCAAGTTCTCTTTACGGGCGCTGTCGGTGTTCTGTACTTAACTCGAGCTGTAGCAGAGCTACAGATCTGGTGCGCACAGAAATCGATCCACGAGCATCAGGGGCGTTCGGCTGAAGCATCTAGAGCTCTGAACGCAGTCTGCTACTCGAGCTAGGTCCGGAAAGTTATTCGTAATGGAAACCGGAAAAACGTATTTTTCGAGCTTTTTTCTTCACGCTGGAGAAGCTTTTTTTTGTGTGTTTCGAGCAGCGCCGCACGAGAAGAGAGCTCTACGAGGCTCCCGGCGGTTGCCTGGTTGAAGGTTTACCGCCGGATCCCAGTATCTCGTAGACCTCCTCGTCTTCGATGAGCTAGAGGAATCCCGGCGCGGGGTGGAGCTAGTTGGTCGACCCGGCCAGAAGGGACAATGTGGTGACTTTTGGTCGGTTTTGCTAAGATTCGCAAGATATTTGACAATTCATTTTGATAAAGCAGATTTTTACGCCGATCATTGGCATATAAGCTTCGTGTTCAGAGCAGCTTAGATCTCTAGAGGTAGTACCTCGTAGAGCTCTTCGGCAAGATGAGCTAGGAGGAATTCGGGCGCAGGTGGAGCTAGTTGACAGACCCGACCTTAAGAGACAATGTGGTAACTTGCGGTCGGTTTTTGTATCTTTCTGCAAAATGTGAAAGTTCGTTTCAAGAACCGGTATGTTTCTCACGTGTAGTGGGTTATGCCGCGTCTGCCAGTCAAATTCTCAGGTCCGTAGCTGCAATATTATTATCAAAACACTTGAGGGAACCGACGTTGGAAGAAAACCGAAAAAACGTATTTTCCAAGATTTTTTCTTCACGCTCGATAAAGTTTTTTTCGTGTGTTCCGAGCAGCGCCGCGCGAGAAAAGAGCTCTACGAGGCTCCCGGCGGTTGCCTGGTTGACGGCTTGCCGCCGGATCCCAGTTTTAGTATTAGTTCACTTCCAGGAACCGACTCCATGTTGACACCGAAAAATGTCAATTTGACGTTTTCTTAGAAATGCTCCAAGAAGCTCTGCGCTTCGATCATGAGCACTCTTACGCGTGCAAGGAGCTCTACGAGGTTCCCGGCGGTCCGGCCAGAAAGGATAATGTGGTACCTTTGGGTCGGTTTTGCGAAGATTTGAAAGATATTTGGCAATTCATTTTAAGAAACCAGATTTTCCGCACCTGTAGTGGGTTATGACGCGTGTGCCTGTGAACTTCTCAGGCTCATAAGTGCAATATTACTATCAAAACACTTGGCGGAACCGATTTTCGATGAAAAACAGAATTAGCTTGGCGAAGGACCCAACTATATGCAGCTGCGAGTACCGCAAGGATACCAGTGTCAAGCTCCCCCCGACCTTCGGTGGAGATCCCTATGGGGCCACGAAGCGTGTGAGAGGTGTGCCGAAATGGGTGTTGGGGAGTGCCGAAATGGGTGGTGGGGAGGCATGCGAACCCTGCCACTGGGGCCTTCGGTGGAGCTCCCTATGGGGCCACGAAACGTGTGAGGGGTGTGCCGAAATGGGTGGTGGGGAGGCATGCGAACCCTGCCACTGGGGCCTTCGGTGGAGCTCCCTATGGGGCCACGAAACGTGTGAGGGGTGTGCCGAGATGGGTGGTGGGGGGGCATGCGAACCCTGCCACTGGGGCCTTCGGTGGAGCTCCCTATGGGGCCACGAAACGTGTGAGGGGTGTGCCGAAACGGGTGGTGGGGAGGCATGCGAACGCTGCCACTGGGGCCTTCGGTGGGAGCTCCCTATGGGGCCACGAAACGTGTGAGGGGTGTGCCGAGATGGGTGGTGGGGAG